CAAGTTTGATTGGCTTCAAGAGAACTTCAGCAGATCTCTACATTTTTCATGGTCTCTTGGTGATGTTCCTTAAAGCATAACTGCAAAATCTCTTTTTTGAAGTGAAAAACTAAGAGAAAAACCATAACTTAAAAAAAAACCAGAGGCCACTATTCTTAAAAGTAAATCCCTAGTGCTCTTAAGTTATGTTCAAACCTGACAAATCTTCACAAAATTTAAAAAAAAAAAGAAGTCAGACATCACTGGAGTGCCTAAGAGCTAAATAAAAAAATGTATGACCTCTGAACCTCCACATTTTCCAAAAGCGAGTCTTGATGGAAATAACTTCAGCCACAAGGAGCAAAATGTGCTCAGTCCTGAAGGCAATTATATTCTTGAATTTCATTACCTCCCTTGGTACTATTAGACTTTTTGGAGATCAGTCAACTTCATGGCCATAACAAGTCCTGAGGTAATTTTTCACAACCCTGTAGATGTTGTTGAACAGGAAAACTGTTCCAAGAATTATCTGTCTCACTTGGATGAATGACATTTGGCGAGAACACTCCCAAACCCTGTGCCAAAATCTTGTCAATAATTCTGTAATCCATATGTAAACAGCAAATAACACAGCTTTCAGCACAAAAATATGATTTCTTATGTGGAGAGGCTGACAAAAGAAAACTGCATTCATAGCCAGAGAAGCTGGGGAGATGAATCTTCTGGCATGTGGAAAAGGCTGAAAGCAGGAAGTGAGGGAAAAGGTTTCCCTCAAACATTCAGCATTATAAACTGTAAATCCATCTGAGCCTGGAAAGAAGCCAGCCCTGAAGAGTCCTCAGTGAATTTCAGTTTGAATAGTATTTTTTTAATCTGTTTGCTATAGCAGAACATGGAGATCTGTTATGAATTCAAGATTAGTCTTGCTTTTCTCTACCTTCAAGCAGCTCCAAACACCACTTCCTATAGAAAGAATTTTAAATTATTAACAAGAAACACAAAACAAAACAAATGCCAAAAAAAAGGATGTTTGGGCACTTTAAAGACAAACTGTTATATTTTATTGTAAGCTTTTGTAGAAGATGCAGACATAAGAGGCAGAATACATGGTAAAACATTCACACAAAGCTCTAAGACAGGCTTGTCCAACCCGCGGGCCAAGGGCCGCATGCGGCCCAGGGTCAGCTTGTAATGCGGCCCTGTGCAATTTTTTATTTTTAAAGAAATTCCAAAATTTCAAGTTGGAAAGAAGCCAACCCTGAAGAGTCCTCAGTGAATTTCAGTTTGAATAGTATTTTTTTAATCTGTTTGCTATAGCAGAACATGGAGATCTGTTATGAATTCAAGATTAGTCTTGCTTTTCTCTGCCTTCAAGCAGCTCCAAACACCACTTCCTATAGAAAGAATTTTAAATTATTAACAAGAAACACAAAACAAAACAAATGCCAAAAAAAAAAAAAAGAAACGATGTTGGGGCACTTTAAAGACAAACTGCTATATTTTATTGTAAGCTTTCGTAGAAGATGCTTCATCAGACATAAGAGGCAGAATACATGGTAAAACATTTATCACAAAGCTCTAAGATAAAGGCACGGTGGCGCTGGGCTGCATTTCACATCTAGTAATGATTTAAGTCCCCTTCTGGTAAACTCTGTTGCTGTTTACAGAACCAAGCTTCGAAAAAACTGAATTACCTGTCTTACAGTGCCAAAACATCTCTCTTTTGCTTTTGTTTTGTTTTGTGCTTCTTGTTGAAATGCTTGCACAGATGAACGGCTAGGGCTGCCCCCCCATGCGGCCCAAACCAAATTTTCATCTTCTAATGTGGCCCAGGGAAGGTGAAAGGTTGGACACCCCTGCTCTAAGGTAAAGGCACAGTGGCACTGGGCTGCATTTCACATCTAGTAATGATTTAAGTCCCCTTCTGGTAAACTCTGTTGCTGTTTACAGAACCAAGCTTCGAAAAAACTGAATTACCTGTCTTACAGTGCCAAAACATCTCTCTTTTGCTTTTGTTTTGTTTTGTGCTTCTTGTTGAAATGCTTGCACAGATGAACACGGCTGCAACTTCAAAAACTACATGACATTATTAAACTTCATTATCATCATGAATCCTGTTTATTCCGGCGTACAGTAAGGTTAAGGTAAAGGTAAAGGTTCCCCTTGACAATCTGTCCAGTCGTGTCCAAATCTAGTTTTATGTTTTGTGCATCGCAATGTAGTGTTTTTATGATTTAGAACTATCCATTTATAATTTTATTGTATCATCGTGACTACACACGGAACAGCATTACCTTCCCATCGTGATGGTACCTATTTATCGACTCACATTTTGCCTGCTTTCGAACCACTAGGTTGGCGGGAGCTGGGACAAGCGACAGGGGCTCACTCCGTCGCATGGATTCGATCTTACGACTGCAGGTCTTCTGACCTTGCAGCACAGAGGCTTCTGCGGTTTAACCTGTAAGGTTACGTCTGTGTAAATATTTTAAGGGGAACTGAGTCTTGTGGAATCTGGAGCTGAGCTGGGGAGGGGCAGGAAAGGAAGCAGTGTGTTGGGGGTCATACACTCTTGCCCCGAGTATGCCTCTGCCAGGGGACCACACTGGGAGAGCAAGAGGGACAGCTGGTGACGCACCTTTTAGAAGCTTCCCTCTTAGGAGTATTTAGAATAGTGAGACGCAGAGAGAAAAAATACCTGGCAGAAACACTGCAATGTTCTGTGCTGCTACTCACCCCCATTTCTAATTAGCTTTGCAGGAGAACCGACTGGCAGGATGAGGAAAGAGACAAAGCAGGAAGGGGCAGTGTGGCGGGGAGGAGATTTATTTATTTGGCTTGCTTTAGCTTCGAAATCCTTCCTGCATGTTGCGCAGAGCACCTGTGTTTCATGAGCAGCATCTCCGCCTTGGTGTGACCTCAGCTACTATGGATGCAACGTTCCATTATGCCCACGTTGCTACTCCATGAAAGTTCAGAAATTACTTACTAGTAATTACTTATTTAAAGCCAATGTTCTGCCACCCGGGTTTACAATCTACAGTATGTTAACAAACTTTCAACTGCATCTTTCTCCCACAAAAGTGCTATATCTTCCCAGGGTTGGGAATCTCTAAATGTCCAGATATGTGGAAAGGACAGCTTCCATGGAACAATTCACCAACGGATAACAATAGGTGGAGCTGAGGAGAAAAACTGAGTACACCAACATCTCAGCAGCCATGAGCTGCCAAGCTCTGTGGTAGCCACCCTGGACTTTGCTACTAGATTGGCCTTTCAGAAGTAAATACACATAGTTGGAACCTCAATTGAACAGTGATAAGTCTACTGACAGCATTTTAAGGAAAATTTAGTGCTTTATTTTTGTTTTTGCTTTGGAAGTTACGAATTGGGATATTTCCTCCCCTTTTCAAGGGATTAAAAAGAGACAATAATGTATGAACATGAGAAAATACAGACAAGACAACAAATTAAATAACAGGCAGATCAAGGTAGAGAAGGTTATAGAAAGGACAGAAGCTGAGACATAAGAGACCTGGAGATCTATTTTCAAGATACATATTCTGGTGGCAAAACAACATCTTATCCTGTGTCAAGTTTCAATGAGCAGGAAACACCTAGTTTCTTTTCTTCTCCACTTCAATTCCAGTAAATCTCTCACTGTTAGTCTTACACTCATATTATGCTGGCTAAGTGCTGCAATACTGTCACTATGAACACTATTACAGCACTGAAAACAGCTTTAAACAGAACGCAGAAACAGCTTCAAATTGTTTTCAAGTGGTAATCAAGATTCTGAACAGTAAGTTTCATCTCTTCCACAGCATATTAATTCTGCCCTCTGCTTTCCCTCTCTGATGAAAATCTCTAATACTATAAATAGTCATGTCATATGAAGGAGTTATTATATAAGTGGGACCTGCAACAAAATGTTGCAGGGTGCAGTCATCAAGTTTAGAAGTCCAACCAATCAAAATTAAATAAATAAATAAATAAATGTCATATAAAGGAGTCATTGTATAAGTGGGACATGCAACAAAATGTTGCAGGGTACAGTCATCAAGTTTAGAAATCCAACCAATCGGCCGTGCTTGCTTTCAAAACAAACCATTACATTCCCCTCCCACTCAGTCCCCATTGGGCTGTTTGGAGCAGGGGGGAAATACCCCCACCTCCAATTGTATTCAAGGAAGTAGAATGTGTTCTCAAATATAAGGATGTGCAGCAGGAAACCAAGGCCACAATCCTCCACATTATAATATTCCTGATGACTATGTTTAGATATTAAAGCTGGACCAAGAAGAAAGCTGGCAGGAAAAGCATTAACTCTCTTGAAATGTACAGACCAGCCAAAAGACTCATAAGTGGGTCTCGGATCAAATCAACCCTGAACTCTCACCAAGAGCTAAAATCACTAAACTATTTTCATAGATTTGACATCTCATGAGAAGACAAGACTCACTGGAAAAAGACTATAACTCTAGAAAAAGGTGAAAGTACTCTCACCAAGAGCTAAAATCACTAAACTGAGATTTTCATAGATTGGACATCTCCCAAGAAGACAAGACTCAATGGAAAAAGACTATAACTCTAGGAAAAGGTGAAAGGGAGAAGAAAAAAGGAAGACTTAGCATAAGTTGGATTAATTCCACACAAAAAAAGTCTTTAGTTTGCAAGACTCCAGTAGAGCTGCTAATAACAGGACCTCTGGGAGGTCCTTAATTCATAAGGTCTTCATAAGTGGGAAGCAACTTGACACACATAGCAACACTTAAGAACAATGACTCTCTACAGTTTCACAAACTTTGGTAGGTCCAAGCCTGATGATACCTACTCTCCATGGAATGTTGTTTTGGTTATAGAAGCACTCGCCCCTGGTATTATTACTGAAACTCTGATGGTGCTGATTCCCCACCCCACCCCAAGCCCTGCAAACTAGTGTTTATTTTACCCAACAATGCATGAAGTTTCCTTTAAAACTGCACATCCCACACATGAGAAACAAACAAACATCATTTTACCTCTCCATGTCTTAAAGGAGTAATTGTTCCTCTTGAAACTCCCATGCGGAACAGAGTTTCCGTGGCCTGCGTGGAAAAAGAAAACATTATTTCAAAAAGTGGAAAAAGAACATGTTATTTCAAAAAGTCAGTGGGAGAGCACTAAGTGAAGGATGGTTGTTTCTTTTTAGTACACACCATGGTTGAAGTTTGTATTTATACCCAATATTAGTCTTATCTACAACAGATCTGCTGAAATTAAGGGAACTAATTCATCAAAAGTAACTCAAGTTCCATTGATTCCAATGGGTCAACTCTTAACGTGCTGATGCACAACAACTTGCTACCACAACCCCATACATCCCCTTATTTTGAAATGGCATTATTATTACTATTTATTTCAATAAAATAAAATAAAATAATGCATTTATTATAATAAAAGTTGGGGCATGTACTTTAACAGTCGTATAAATGTTGTCCATGATTTGAAAAGATCTTTCTCACTCCTCTATAAAACCACTTAAAGAGAATATAAAACTGTCCGATGAATATGACTGTCTGAAAATGACACAGTCACTGAATTATTTTTTCCCCAAAACCTCTGACATTATGTAGCATTTTAGAAGTATAGATAGAAAACAGTAGATGAGCCAAGTGCTTTCCATTTTAGTAAAGACTGAAAAAGGGCCAAGAGTTACAACAACACCCATCTCACCATAATAGGAGTGCAGTGGATTCAATGCTTTAAAAAAAGGATTGTGACATGGATTTAAAAATATAATGCAATGTCCATTGATGCTTATTCCTGTCAAAGCACAGCTTTTATGTGTGTTTAATGTACTCAGCACTACTCACATCCCATGTTTCCGCAGATCTATAAGCAATTTTATATCTTTGTACGTCTAACTTTTTTATTATCAAAGATAATGCACTGCCTACTTCAATTTATTAGCTCATTTACACACCCGCAAGAACACTATACCAACTCCAGGACCTAATTCTTCTTCACCCTCTTGAAGATGAAAGGGGTGAGAATCTCATTCATCGTTTTGTGTTCTTCAGAACTGATTTCATTCATCGGTTCTTTCCAGCAACATTTTAAGGATGTTTCAGCCAAACAGAATGTTCTGTCAATACTGCTAAGCTCCTTTTGTTTCCATTGAGAGCCAGCGGTGTGTGTGACTTTCATTCTTCTCTTGCTTGTAAGGGATCTCCTTTAATATACTTGTACTCACACAGCTAAAAGCCATTGTCAAAGCTCCTTAGGCAAAAAAGAGAGAAATTCTCAGCATTTGTGAATGCAGGGTCAAAGATTTCTTGATAGGATCACACCATCACATGTGTTGAGTGCTGCTAAGAAGATTAGAACTATACATAGTTTCCTACTTAAATAAGAGTTGAGGAGGGAAAAGCCCATCACCATGCACAAAGCTTCTCAATAGAAGACTGTGGTTATTTTTAATGTATACAAGGGCAGCTGACTATTTAAGGAGTTATGTAATTAATAAAGACAAACAGGGTAGTAAGTCTAAATTGATTGTATTAACAGAAATCTCTAATGACTGCAAGAAAAAAATACTGGAAGAGTAAGCAAGATTTTTCAAAGTTGTTTTGGGGAAAAAATAAAAATAAAAAAATTAAGAAGTGGGAATATTAAGAATTACCGGTACTGATCCTTTTTTAATTAAATGTAAATTCTGTTACAAACATACATCACTTTATTTTAACATCTTCACAAATGTGAACACATTTAGCTCAAAATCTCTCTCATATTTTGACAGTGTGTACAACAGGAAGGGTCGTGGCGCTGTGGATTAAACCGCAGAAGCCTCTGTGCTGCAAGGTCAGAAGACCAGCAGTCATAAGATCGAATCCATGCAACGGAGCGCAGTGGTGTCGAACTGTGGCCCTCCAGATGTTCTTGGCCTTCAATTCCCAGAAATCCTGGCCAGCTGAGGTGGTGGTGAAGGCTTCTGGGAGTTGCAGTCCAAGAACATCTGGAGGGCCACAGTTCGACACCACTGGTCTACCGACAAATGCTGGCACTATGGCTTGGTAACAGGGATGAGCACTGCGCTCTAGAGTCAGACATGACTGGACTAAATGTCAAGGGGAACCTTTACAACTGAGGAACATAACAAGAAAAACAATGCATCACAGCTCTGTCTCAGCGCAAGCCTGAAACAGCTTTAAAAATCTGTGTTTGATAAAAAAACAAAGTCTTCATGGCCTGAATCCTGTTCATGATGTATGCTAGCATCAAGTTAAGTGGTGTAAATCGTGGTAGCAAATTCCCACTAGTAAAGGTGTCAAAGCTTGTATTTCTCATCACATACTAAGTAAGTCATGCAAGTAAGTCATGGTTTGAGTTTCTCCAGAATATGTAAGTATCAGGATTCTGGCCCTTAGCTTTAAATGAATACATTTTACTTATACAGGGTACTCGGGATATGACGAGATGAGATGGAACAGAAGAACCCCCTACAGAGACATGTGGTACACTGAGAAAGTAGCCTCACAAAAGGCGAAAAGGCGGAAAAAAGCACAGCCCCAGTGTCGAGAGGAGTCTGACCTCAGCGGCAGCAAAAAGGAACTGAGGGGCTCTGCAGATGGGGAGAGCATGCACACTAGGGGGAAGCATGCTGTCAAACGCATGATGTAAATCTCTAGAAAGTTATGAGAAGTCCAGTGCAGGTGCAGAATTAACCAATTTGTGAGCATTCACAGAGACCATGAAGAAGAACAGCACTCTCACATCTGTTTTGATGTGAGAGAGCATTCACAGAGACCATGAAGAAGAACAACAATCTCACATCTGTTTTGAAGGTCTGATCACTCGGAGCAGTGGTTTCCAACCTTGGGTCCCTAGACATTCTTGGAGTAAAACTCTCCAAAGCCTTCACCACTGGCTGCGCTGGGCAGGATTTCTGAAAGTTGTAGTCCAAGAACATCTGAGAACCCAAGGTTGGGAACCACGGAATTAGAAGAACTGCAGTCATTCACTCAAAGGACAGTGGTCTGAACTCATCTCAGATCCCATGTGGTACGAAAGTGGAACCAATGGATTGGTGGAAGTGCAGAATAAGGTATCTGAGGACCTCCCAAAGCCTCTGTGCTTCCCAAGTATTGTGAAACAGCCGGCGACACAAAGCAATGTTATCAAAATGTATTCAGAAAGCTTTTTTAAAAAAATAAATTATATTTATAAATCCACATTCAAAAGCAATGTTATCAAAATGTATTCAGAAAGCTTTTTTTCAAAGAAAATATATTTATAAATCCACATTCGAAAGCAATTTTGTGATTTTTAAAAAACTGCAAGAGAAAGAAAGAAAGAAAGAAAGAAAGAAAGAAAGAAAGAAAGAAAGAAAGAAAGAAAGAAAGAAAGAAAGAAAGAAAGAAAAACTCACACAGAGACTTATGAATTGTCATGCAGGAATGTGTCCCAGGCTAGAAGGAAACAGATTTTGCCCATTTCTGATCCCGGCAACATCAGGCAAGGCAGATCAGCTGCTTCCTGCATAACAAGGCATATGACAATTTAGCTTACAGGAAAAGAGTAGTCTCACAAGATGCTGCTGTTATACAAGGGAACAAATGGATAGAATGATCAACACAGCTCTATTTCATATGGAGAAAGAGCACCCTGAGGGTTTAAGCCTGCGTATATAAATATATTATATAAATGTACACTTGTCTAGTTATGGAATATGAATTGTCTTCCTATACCCACATTAAAGCTAAAAAAAGAGAATTTTCTCAAACAAAATGCATTTTATAAGTGGCAGTTTCCCTGCAAATAATAAAAGCAATGTGATCACTTTTGACTCAAAACCTGTCTTTCATGACTGAATAGTACATTGTTGTTGAATAGACTAAATGTCTAAAGGGTCATAGAAATGATTGCTGATTAGTCTATATAGCAGGGATTGAGGGAGTGACACAGATATGGTGATATACCAGAGTGCTATTGTGAGCAGCAAACCAGCCTTTTGGAAATCCTAAGAGTATCATTAAGGGAGTTGGTTATTAAGGGAGTTGGTTAGACAGCTCGGTGGTTTAGGTTTCTAGCTGCAGAGCCAGAGGTTAGGAGTTTGCTTTTTCCACTTTGCCTGCAGGGAGAAGAGCCAGCCTGCATGGCCTTGGGCAAGCCACGCAGTTCCAGGGTGCCCCTAGAAGGGAATGGTGAACTACTTCTGAGTATTGCCTACCAGTAAAACACTGAAAAGGGTTATCACAAATCAGAATTGACTTGATGGCACATTATTATTATCAGAAGTATGAATATACTGGTGGAAAACACCAGTGTTCATATAACATGCAAAAATCAATCCGATTACCATGGCAACATAGAAGAACCAAAACACAGAACTAGATAAAATGGCTGCATGTTGTCAATCTGAATCACAGTTTGTCAATCTGAAAACAAAGTTTTCCCTTTGTTTGGCCTATCAAAAATCTGCTCTTTACCTGCATTCATTCCTTTTTTTATTTTAACAGGCAACTAGTACAATATAATACATTGCTGAATTATATGAAGCAAGATCAACGAGAAGAGACTCAGGGAGTAGAACCAGCCTGTGCAGCCTTGGACAAACGACACAATCCCAGGATGCTCCTAGAAGAGACTCGGGGAGTAGAACCAGCCTGTGCAGCCTTGGATAAACTACACAGTTAGGATGCTCCTAAAAGGGAACGGTAAACCACTTCTGAGTATTCCCTACCAAGAAAATACCGAAAGGCATCACCTAAGTCAGAACTGACTTGACGGCAAATCATCATCATCATGAAACACCAGGCACAGGCAACATTATAAAAACACTGAGTGATATTATACAACAGACACAAGTTTTAACCAAAAACCTATCTATTAAATATCGGTGTAGTATGTACGCTGTTCCTAATATTGTCGGGTTTTTGTAGCTCTGATGGTGTGATTTCTGAGATCTGCTACTGCTTATAGTACTGTGTGATGTTTCTTGATATTGTTCCCAAAGCCCCAATAACTACGGGGACCACTGAAGTGTGTTTCTTCCAGAGGTGAGATGGTGATGACGATGATGATGATGATGATGTTGTTGTTGTTG